CCTTTCATTTAATATTTTCAATTAAGGGGTCATCCTCATACCCCGTCCGAACAAACCTCGATATCCCATCCGATATGAGGCAACGTTCACGGTAGAATTTTCTATGAACCCGATCCATCCACCATCTCCCAGTATATCCAGTAAGGCTGTCGTTTCATTCATTTACTTAATTACACAATTTTTTATTTTTCTTTAATCTCTATTTTTTTTCATTTCAACCGTAAACATATAAAACAAATAATACATGCATTCAAAGCTATAAAATCGATCAATAAGATATTATCATGCATTCAAACCGTAAAAATAATCAACAAAAACAACAGTAGATAATTTTCAATTCTGGCTCCATTAGTAATCTGTAATTAATTATGGATATTTTCTAAATTGTACAAAACACCGTATTATTGTTAATTTGACTTCAATTCTATAACAGAGGATAAGGTGAGAGATTCTTACTCAACTTGATGCCCGAAAAGCTAAACTTATTGATTGTGCCTACTGGCGGCCTCCGGGTTCTCTGAATTTTTCTTTGGGGATTAAAACGTACAATAATTATCTATAAATAATAGAGAATAAAGTGAGAGATTCTTACTCAAATTGATGTCCGAAAAGTTAAACTTATTGATTGCGCCTACTAGCGGCCCCCGGGTTTCCTGAATTTTTCTTCGGGGATTAAAATGCTCAACAATTATCTACAGATATCCCAAAAACCCCAAAATCAGTGCCAGGACCTCTTTTTGGCCAATTCTAAAATTCCGACATGGCGGCTCCATTGTGTTCCGGCGGTAGTCCGCCTCGGGTTAGCTATTTTCAACCAGTTTTTCTTCAATTCCTATAATAAAATACAGTAAGGGGTCTCAGTTGGCCCAAAAAAATCGAAACTCACCAGCAGCGGGGCTCTCCGGTGTGACAGCTCCGCCATCTCACTTTACAATTGGGTATTTTGCTTCAGTCAACCTGTAGAGAAGGAAACGGTGATTACAACGGTGAAAAAATTTTGCAGAACGGGAATCAGAAAGGGCTTCATTGGAGGCAATTTTTGTAATTTTTCGCAGTGGCGCCGCTGGGTTTTGCCTGCGATTTTTGGCCAATCTGTCGGTCCTTTTGCTCTGATTTGGCCATGGGATTATTTAAAATTGAATTCCAAGTAAAGAGAAATTTTTTTACCTTTTTTGGCAGTCAGAAGTGGCTCCGGCACAGCGGTGGGTGGCGTCGGCATCCTTCCCACTGACTGTGTCTTCTTCTCCGGGGGGTGGGGGGGGGGGGGAGGTCTAGCAGTTAGGGTTAGGATTTGGTGTAAAATGGGTTATTTATATTCGTCTCTATTTAATCTGAGCTGTCCATCGTGTTTGATCTTGATCGTCCGATTGTGATTAAATAAGGAGTGAATCTGAACCATTCATCATGATCTAATCTGGACCATCCGATCGCGTTTAAATAAGAAATAGATCTGGACCGTTGATTGTGTTTAAATCTGACTGTCCAATCGCGTTTGGGGAGGGAATGCATCTGGGCTGTTCGATCGCGGGTACGCGGATCTCCCGCGTGGCCTCCCGTGTGGTACCGCATCAGCGTCCATTGCCACGCAGCGTGTTCTGGTTCGTCGAAACTGCTGACCTTTAAATTATATTTTGACCCCCCAGTTTCTGATTTTTCTTTCAAAAATATCTTCAAAATCCAAAATTTCACCTATTTTTTTTAAAATTATTTTCAATTTCATCCTCCATCAAATTTACTTCATTTTTACATTAAATTAAAATTAAAAAATTAAAAAATTATATTTACAAACTAATTTAAATTATACAAAAATTAATTTGGGTATTACAATAGATCCTAAGACCATTATGATGTGCATGTCTTTGCTCTAACTCGTTCCACAATTGATAGTTTCTGTTGGCATAAAAGGTTTTATACTTAAAGTTTACATATAATCATTTCATATCCACACAATAACAATATTGTTAACACTATAATCAGTGCTCCATGAATGGATTGCTTGGATCTTATGGTTCCTTCAAACTCATGTTGATAAAACATAGTTTATTTTTAATTCTTATAATGTATTTCATAAATTTCACGCAAATATATAGTTATTGAAGTCTAACAATTGTGTCACAAGTAAAATTTTTAAGTTCTCATTAATATGATGTAACTGTTCGGATAAGAGGAATTGAAGATAATTATAATCAGACAAATCTAAATTTTAGATCGAATTTTTGTAAGAAGTTTTAGTTTTTATTATCCGCTCTAATAGCATATAAAATTTTGCTAAAGAAAGATAGAAGTAATGAATTGAAAATGTGCGAATAATTGGTGAAGAATGAAGTAATGAGACGGATGATTTGAAATGACGAAACCATAGTCAGCTGCCTCTAGGTCCTCTTATTCATCTTTGAAACAGGAAAAAGAATATATTGTTTCAAAATAGAATATACATACATATATGTCCGGACCAACACATGATACACACACATACGTATCCTTTTAGGGTTAAATGATACTGTTTTATATTTATATATATATATATATATATATTGTTTGTTATACATACATGTATACATATAGCATACATACACAGGCGCGGATCCCTTCCCGGGTTCCGTTACCCGCTTCTCATTCCTCCGAGCTCTGCAATCCAACTCCCTTTGACATAATCCACACGATGAACAATTTTTATTTATTATCTACATAATATACACCTTCATAATTATTGAAGATGATAAGAAAGGGCAACCGCATATGCTTTCCCCAAATCCTCCATCTCAGGCGAATTGCGGATGCTCGAAAATGGCTATGGACAGCTTCATCGCCCACGCTCTCAATATACAACAGAAAAGTGAAAAAAGATTTAAGAAATACTAAAAACCTAAAAAACACGAACAGTCTCCTTGGATACATGAACCGCCGTCGTATCGCGGACAAAATTGGGCTTCGCAGATCTCAGCGGCGAACTCGGCAACCTCGACGCGAAGCTTGGATGAAACTCGGCGTCATCGAAATGATCGTCCTCGAAGTTGAGAGCGTAACTGAACGGATCGTAGCTGAAATCGGCGGAATGATGCTTCCTTCCGCTTTTCGCGCCGATCCTTGCAATGAGACCTAGACATTTTTCCTTAACCTCCAGCTCATGCGCCGTGGATTTCAGCCAAGTGTACGGAGACCTGTGCGAAGTCCTCATTCTCTCCGTCTCGACGACCGCAACATCTGTGGAGTTGGAACAGAAGCCGCCGCATATCGTCGATCTGAATCGACGCCTGGATCTGGGAGAAGAAGAGGAAGAGATGGAATCGCTGTACATTTTCTCGAGAAACAAACAGAAAGAGAAATGTGAATTTAGTGATTTGATTAAAAGGTGAGTGAATTTGAGTGTGGAATTAAGGGATACACACACACACACACATATATATAAATAAATTATACAGGAAACCGAAATGGATAAGGTGTAAAGCTTTGGGCGTTTCAGAGCGAGAGCTTCCTGATAAAAACCGTGGGGTGTGCGCGGATTTAGTGGTGGGGCCCAGACTGGATCCGCGTTGCGAACAAACTACCATTCAACTACTTTTAAATATGCTGTTCATTAATAAAAATAAATATATTATTTTTTTGAGAAATAGGATAAAAATATTTATAATATTTTATTTCAAAATTTTAAACAATTACAATATAATATATAAATGGATTTAAATAGATTTGTTATTGATAATTTGTTATAAAAAAATGTTAAAATATTAAATTATAAAATAAATATGTTATTGTTATTGCATATGTTGAACCACTCCTTTTCCAACTTGAGCTTTTTTACTCAGTTTAAGTTAGAGGTTTGGTATAGGAGGGTTTGTTTAAATGGAGAAAGGAAAGATAAATTTATAGGTATAATTTTTTTTTATAAATAATTATTGACATTTACTTTTATATATATATATATTATTTAATAATTATATAAGTAACAATTATGTAGTTAAATGGATTAATCAAACAACTCTTAATTTTGAGGATTAGATTTTTGCATTGTATTTGGATGAGAAAGAGATGGTAGAAAATGTGGTTAATAATCAAACAAAATGTTGGACCAAGTCAATTAGGAAGAAATAAATACACCACCTAAATTAGATAGGTGTGAATTTGAAATATTCTTTTCAAATCTACTAGTCTCATTCTAGTTTTCTTTTTCTTTTTTTTTTTTCTGAAAAAAAGTCAAGAGGAGAACCTTATAAAAATATATGTGGGGAGAGACTCACATACATGAAAATTCGAAAATAAACTAGTCTCCTTAGTATAGTAGGCGACTTGGTTATATGATTTTTTTGAACTACACCACTTTTATGTCTGGTTAGAGTTCAAAATTAATTTTGTAATCTCAATTAAAAATTCATATTATGAACAGTTATCTTCTTCTATCATCAACACTCTATGCATTTTTAATGCATTAACTTCAATGACACATGCCCTAGAACTACGGGAGAGTAGATAATTTAGGGTATTTCGACAGTGTAGGAGTTATATAAGATAAGGAGACTTGCAACTTTAAAATTTTACGTATAAGACAACTAGTAAATTTTTTTATGAGAATTTGATGGTCGCATCGAAATCAGTTGTGCCATTTGTGTTGAAAATGATGTTGTCCACATTACACTTCAAAAAACTATATTATAGTGCCAACTACCTATTATCAGTGTCTAATTGTGTATTTTGAGTGCCACTTCATTCTCGAATATATTGGGCACACTTTTGTTCTAATAAATATAAATGAGTTAAAAAATATATAATTTGTTCGAGTTTAGTTAAATTATACAAAAAAAAAAATTAAATTGTGAATTAAAAAAAAACTATTAATTTTTTAATTGAATAGATTGTATTATGCTATTAAGCAACTTATGATACTTTATTTTGAATATTTTTCTTTAATTTCCGCCTATTAATTGTTTTCATATATATGTTCTAAATAATAATTTGAAGTACACAATAATTAATAAGTAAACACTATTATATTTATTATTTTGTGTAGTTAATTTTTTGTAAATCATTAGATCATGTGAAATCTAATTTAAATTTAAATTTTTAATTTTCATATATTATAGTAAATATATATGGGTCATCCGCGAGAGAATTCGGGAAGCGAGGTTGATGGCCACAGAAACCACGAACACTGAGATTACCATCCTACCCTCGTTAGGAGTCGTTGCAGAGCAATCGAACTGTTGAAAATGAAAAAAAAAAAAACTAGAAGAAGAAGAAAACAAGAAGAACGAGAAGATGGCTGCTCTAAACTTGAAATTGAGCAGAACATCATCTCAGCCCCTTGAATCCTGGTTCAAGCCTCGAAAGCATCAGGTCTCCACAAAACTGCTTCTCAGGAGAGCCGTGAAATGCAGAGCCAATTCATCGGAGCCATCTGAAGAAGCAACCACCACGGCCACTCCCGAAATCGAGCTGGAGTTCATCGGAGTACGTTTTATTCTCTGATTGCATGTTATCTTATGTTTTTTCTTGCTCGAACCTGAATCAATTTTTGTGTAAAATAAAAACAAAATTCGGCGATTGTGGCAGCCGAAGCCGGAAAGTGATGGATCGTATAGAGTGGAGAGAGCGAAGGCCGTGAGTGGAGAGAAGCTACTGAGGAACATAATGTTGGATAATAAAATCGAACTCTATGCCACCTATGTAATTTCTTCCTTTCGTTTCCTCGAACAAGATGGATTTAGCTTACTTCTTCTCTGATTTCATTAATTTTATCCAAAACCATGGTTAGGGCAAAGTAATGAACTGTGGAGGAGGAGGGAGCTGTGGAACTTGCATTGTGGAAGTAAATACTTCTCTTCACTTGTTGTGGTTCTTATCCTGTATACACGTGTACATATTTATATGTACGTATGTGAATTTAGAATATAAACTTGCTGTGCAGATTCTTGAAGGCAAAGATGTTTTAAATGAAAGAACAAATACAGAGGCACGGTATCTTAAAAAGGTAAGAAGATGAGGTAGAATATATATGAAATTTTATATAGAAGTTTTATGAAGAGAGTAAATAACAATATAACATAGTCAAAACTGGGTAATTCAATGTGCATAGAAACCAGAATCCTGGAGGCTTGCTTGCCAAACTATAGTCGGAAACAAACACAACTCTGGCAAGGTACATTTCTTCTTTCAATATTCCAACTCTGCAGGCAATATTCAATGAATTAGTAAGTAATTGTAAATATGCACTTTGTAGGTTGTGGTTCAGAGGATTCCCCAGTGGAAGAAGAAATGACTATACACCTGCCATCATATATGTATGTAATATTCCCAACCAACTATATGATATTCATTCAGTGTTATTATATTACCTTCAATTTTTATACATAACACTCCTCTCAACTCTCAAACATTTTAGAATTGTATGTGAAATTGAATTGGATGAGAATACTTTGTTGTATTTCACCTCATCTGTGCACCCTTACAGTCGATTAAACATTGGTAAATTCACCCTACAAAAAGATTATTTCACTTAAAACCATGAAGTTCACCTCTAAATTGCACTTCAATTTTTTCCCCTCACCAAGAAGTGCTTGTTGGTGGGAAGTCAATTAGCAAAAAAAGAAGTTAAGACGCTCAGTGCTCGAAGTGTACAGTTGCCAGTGATTTTTTTTTTTCTAATTATTATTATTATTATTGTTGGTAAACTCACAAATGATTCTCATCAGTTTTACTATTTTCTCTAAAGTAGGGCGAGTCATACCATGTAAGTGTATATCTATTGCGCAAAACAACGCTTATGGGTGTTAATCCTAATTTACATAGTAATTAAGGTGCAAAAAATATATATTTTAGAAGGGAAATATTTTGCATGCTGCAATTTATAGTTTTATAGTTGTTACATGCAAATTTACCTTTCCATCGATGTATTTAATTATTAATGATCATTAACTTTGACTATCATTTGTCATCACATTTACCCATATTTTGTTATTATCTTTGACTATTACTTGTTATCATCTTTAATTGTTATTTTTTTATTGCATATGCTAAACATGATTGTTAATTGTTAATTGTTATTTGTCAAATATTGTTTGATACTTGATAATGACAATCAACATTTAATAAATGGTCATCGCTATTCCTAAATAATCATTAGCAGATTTAGTCATTGAATTTTACTAAATGT